ATATTCATTATCGACGCGATATCAAAGATCGATATATAAGTTCCCATCATCAATTGTTTATCAATATGGAATATATATCATCGACGCGATGTCATTGGACGTCACAATAGCATACACACGACGACGACGACGACGACGTGTATATATCAACAAGGCGAGGAAAAAAAGTGAATGAAGCGTGAGAGACACTTTGGGGGCTGGGGGGGCGCGTATATATACACATACCGTGTGCTGTGTGGGAGAAAAGTTCGAAGACAACACAAAAGCTACATTATATATACCGAGGCCGGGTGTAAGACAATAAACTTTTCATGTAACCCGAAACTTTTCTCGTCAAAAGATATCTGCTGTAAGGATACACAGCGATGTTGCGACACGGATCTTCTTCGTTATTATTATTGTTATTATTATTATTTTTTTTCGACAAACATAAATAGCGGTTTTCTCTCTATTTACAAGACATGAAAATAATATAGCTTTTTTACGCGCTGAAGTTGAACGTAATGTAACAATGATGAGGAAGAAAATATTTCTAGGCATAAACTCTTAAGGAGTGGAGTAATCAGTAAATATTTTTCGAGTAAAACTTTTTTTAGGTGCGTTTCAGGTAAATGATTGATTTTAACTCAGATGGCGAGAGGACACAACATTCGTCAGAGTTGCAATACAAGATTCTTCAAAGTTATTTATACATATATACTGATTGGGAAGTTTTTCACCACTTGCGAGTTAACAATACTCCATCTGTTGATAGAATCATGAAACTCATAATCAAATATAACACTTTTGATTTCGACAAATTATAAAACTTGTTACAATTCAAAACGAGTTTTTGAATATTTGTCCTTATATTTTTCTGAAACAAATAACTTTTTCTTTTAATGCCTATGGAATTAAATAATAAAACCATTGAATTTAAATTAAATTTTATGGAATTTAGATTAAGTTTCACATTTAGGCGGAGACTCAATTTTTAAAAATGATTCGGTCACAACATTTAATTACAATGATAATGTGTTTAATTCCATTTGATTCAAACGACTTTTTTCACCGGTCTACCTATCCACAAAGAAGTTTCACTCCAACAAAAAAGCCCGTGTTATTCATTTCCCACCTCTTCTCTCACCGAGTTTTACGGTATTGCGTTTCGCACGTCTCTCGTTATTTTTATTTATGATGGCACGCGGACAAGCGTCCGACGATGATTTGTATACGGCATCTAACTCGACGCGAACAAGTTCTCTTCTTTTTTTTTTCATTTTATTCGGATGCGATAATCGTCGCGTCTATATAATGGTTTTATATTGGTTCGACTACCATTTTTCCTCCGCACTAAAAGCTGCATTAAAGCTCTCAGAATTTCCAATCATATACATAACCAACGAGTACGAAAAAAAAGAAAAAAAAACACACAAAACGAACGAATAATGAAACAATAATATAACACCCTCGAATGAAAGATGCATCAATTGCAAAAACTGCAATCGAACCGGCGAACCACAAATGCACGCGGCTGCCGCGCATACACATATATACACGATTCGTTTTATATTGCTCGGGCTATGTATGAATGTATGCTACGAAATGTTTCAGAAAAATATTTCTGCCACTCGAGTGTGTATGCTGAAGTGGCGATTATGTATACACGAGCTTGTACAACGCTAGCTCGTGCGTCGTTCGTTTATAACAACTGCTCGAGTGGGTAACACGAGGTGAAAAAAACTTGAAGAGAGAGAGAAAGACTCGGGATCCTCGAGGGAGTGAAAGGGCGGGGGGAGTGATATAGAGAGGCAGAGAAAAAAAACCGACGCGCGTGAAAAGCACGATAGAAATTAATATCTCGAGCTTGGTCTTGTAATTGGATATATTGTCCCGGTCAAATCGAAATTTTAATTTCGCTAGATGACACATGTATGCGATGTTTGTCTCTCACTCTCTCTCTATCTATCTGTCTCTTGCGGGCGTACATACTCTAACAGGTTTTAATTTTTTTCACATTCATGGCGAGCCGACGACGACCCTCTTTTACAACGCTCGGCTCAAGCTCTCGTGTACAATACGCGTACTACGTCCGCACAGCTTGAGAGCCCAGCGTCGGCTTCAAATCTCATCGGTCCGCGAATTTAAATATAATGTTAAAATTCAGCCACCCGAGGGTACGGTGTGGTGGTACAACAACGCCGAGAGAGAGAAGAGTTTATTTTTCAGCAAATTCACCTTTTTTGTCGAAACACACTACGCGACGAGGGATGGAGAGCAATTCCGAGCCCACCCGTACACACACACACATACATAAAGAGCAATTCGGTCGTTGAATAATTTTATCGTTTATTCGCTGTCCTCGTAGGAAAAAAAAAGGAACGAAGCCGTCGGATCGCGTCGGCAAAAAGCTGTCCCGCGTCGTTACGGCCCCTGCTGCCGCCACGGTCTCGCGCGCACATAAGAAAAAGTTATTCGAATCAATATATATATGTATGTATACACGTATAATGTCGTCTGGCTAGTGCGCGGCAGGTGTCACAGTAGCAGCATCTCTCAGAGGGAGCGAATGCACATAGGCGAAATAAAGAAACAACGACGAGCAAGCGAGCCAGAGAAAGAGATACAAAAAACGACGCGGCTCGACAAGAACGTGTGTACGATATAGTATTTCGGCTAGAGGCGAGTAAAAAATATATATTCATGGAACGATAGGCCAGGGGAAAAAGCTCGTCATTGTCGTCGTCGTCGTCGTGCTGCGTTACATGAAATCGACCTCTCACACCCTAAAATATGCTGACTTTTGCAGAGAGAAAGAGATGAAGGACTATATACGCGTAAAAGCTCGAGCGAAAGAGAAAGAGAGACGAGACCGACGACCACAAAGGCTTCTGTGTGGTCGGCTCAAATTTTAACGGGACAGACGTGTGCGCAGCGGCGGCCTCGGCGTCGCCGGCAATTACCAAACTTTTAAAGCTCCGCGTCCGCGTGCGCTGGTATAGTAGGAGGCAGCAGCAGTGGTGCGAGTCGACGGCAGTTGCTCCCACCTTCCCATTCCCCATCGACCTTTCCATAAGGCACATAGATATATTCCGAAGGAGATCTGCTGATGCCTGCAGCGCACGAGGCACTAGTATATAGTATATAAATGTGCCTCCTATTATATGTGCGGCCACGTTTGCTTGTTCGCGCGCGACTCCGCTAGGTCTAAAATAGCTTTCCTAAATATGAGCTTGCGACGACGAGGACGACGACGAGCCCGCAGGCTCGAGCGAAGCCCTGGGATAATTTCGGGCGCGCACAAAAGACACTGATGAGATTCGCGCGCGCGCGTGTGTGCGAGGGTCCGCTGCTCGGCGAGCTAGCTTTTTCCTGTTGTTCTTTTAATCGAATCGACGATTTACGCAGACGCGACCACGACTCGCGAAAAGACGAAATCGAATTAGCGCAATTTGTGCGTTGGGCCGAGGCTACATATATCGTACGCCGGCTTGGAAAATTGGCAGAGCCTGGCGCACAAAATAAAGCGCCAATGTACACATGGATTCAATTCAGCGTGCCGGACGCTTGGACACACGCACGCATCAACGTACGCGTTTAAGTTTAGTCTTTTTACTATATACGGACGCAGCTTTTATCTTTGTATACTGCAGCTCGCGATCCTATACTACTACTACTTCTACTACCACTACGAGCGTATATAAGCGTGCGACGAGTACGAGGCACGAGCTCGACCACACGCGACGCGACTCGCGCGCGCTTCGGGGGCTTTGAGGAAAGAGCTATGAATATATTTGCATATCATGACCATAAGCAGGAAAACGTAGAACGCACGGCGGTGGTGGTGGCGGCGACCGCGGCGAGCTTTTGCCCGTCTCTCTCAAACTCTTGGCTTTCGACCCCTCTCGCGCCGATGCCCGAGCGACTTTGATGGGTCAGAAATGTCATTTATATTCTGCCTAAACGTGCGCCCGACGTTTTTGACTCTCTTTGCCGCGCTTATCTCTTGCTGTCTCTCTGCCGCGTGCGGGGCGAGTAAGTAACATGAAGAGAAGCGCGCAGTTATACAACGAATATTTTTCTTGACGAGCGTCTCTCGATTTATTGAGATTAAATGTGAATTTACTTACCCCGATATCGATGGTGATCGGGTTTTGTGAAAATTATTGACGATCTTACCTGAAATCAGGAATAATAAAGTTGTGAGTGATATTATTATATTATACTTATGCAACGTACTTTATACCAGTATGAAATTTTTTCACCACTTGCGAGTTTACAATACTCCATCTATTGATGAAATAGAAAAGTTACTTATCAAACATAACGCCACTGAAGATAAAAATTGTTAAAAAAAAAACTGATTTTTGAAAGTTTTACTTCTGGTGTCTATGCATACTATAGATACAATGAAACCACCAACAATTATATCATTAAACTTATTTATTCAAATTGAAATAATATAAATTAAAAGTATAATTGATTTGGCTAGCTTAAAATTATTTCGTGGGATTCTGTTAAAATTTTACTTCTAACGGCTGTTTTCACGCTGTTGCAAATTGATTTTGAAACTAAGATATATTTTTAAAATTTAATTAGCACCAACGACCAATTACCATTATTTTAAAGACTTTATCAATGATTTTTTTAGAGACAATGTATTTGATAAAATTAAAGACTCAAATTTAGTAGCAATTTTATTTCCACCTGATGCTTCAATGACTAACTGAAATTTGATTACAGATATCAAGTAGGTATCACCAGGATAAACTATATGGGTGTTGATTCGAAGTTAAATATATCTTTTGTTAAGAAAATTTTGCGCCTGTCGAATGACATTTTCATTACAAATTAGTTAATGGTATGCGAGTGACTATGTGTATCGCAGTCCGCAGAACATTACTGCGTATAGCTAGTCAACGGTATGGAGGGGGAAATTTTTCCAGGGAGCTGCGACAATCGCGGGTCATCTCACTAATAATAAGAGTCGTGCGCGCAGTCACTATCGAGAGGAGCTAAATTCCTGCAGTGAGCCAGTGTTTACAAATAATATGCGCGAGAGAGTATTAGTCTCTACCTAAAATCGAGGTTCAGTGTTGGCTCCACGAGGCACATAACCTCGAATATTTTCTCAGAGTGTACATCGTGCAGATTCACAGTGATTCATACAATCGAGCGAGTGATGGAGAGCAAAGAAGGCACAGTTAGGTATTACTCATTTCGTTAATGTCGTAATATTTTTTAAGCGATCGCTTCATCAAATTTAAATGTTCGCCAGAGTGAAGGAAGAACCTAGCGAAACTTGGAGAAACGCAGATGACCACTATGTTTTGGATTCGGTGGACTCTCATGAAGCCAAAAATTTTGGAATGTTGCCGTTTTTTAAGTCACCAGTGAGTTTGATGATTGCAATCAAGTTTTATTTTTCCAATATCAAAAACTGTAGGACATTTTTAATTCTAGGAAAATCACACGAATGAGGTTGTTTCGTTACAGAAGGAGTCAGATGAAAAAATATTCACAGATTTTGAGTGGAAAGATGTAAAACCTGAACCGACTTCTTTATCGACGATCGTTTGTAAATCCGAGCATCCAAATTGTCAATCTATTATAAAAGTAGAAAACGAAAATCAGATTAATGACACAAATGAAAAAATCTTGATAGATTTTGAGTGCAAAGATGTTAAACCTAAATTGAAGTCTTTATCAACAACCAGCTGCAAAATTGAGCATCAAAGTCACCCACAAGTGGTGAAAGTAGAGAATCAAATTCAGACCAATTTATTGAACGAAAAATTACTCAAATCTAGGAAAATAAGAATTTTTGAGAAGAGAACTCATACTAAATTATCTTACGAGGGCAATTTGTGGCCGAAAATTGATGAACGAGAAGAAAAGAAGAAAAATACAATCCATAAGAGCAAACCCTTTGAATGCGAGATTTGTCAAAAATCATTCAGATACCAAAGCATTTTAAAAAATCACATTAAAGTAGTACATGATCGTTGCAAACCCTTTGAATGTGAGATTTGTCATGTATCGTTTGGAGAAAAGAGTAAACTCAATAGGCACATAATAATGGTACATGATCAGAACAAACCCTATGAATGTGAGATTTGTCATAAAACATTTGGACTAAACGGTAACCTTAATATGCACATAAAGAATGTTCATGTTCGTAACAAACTCTTCGAATGTGAGGTTTGTCAAAAATCATTTGAACGAAAAAGTACCCTCGATAAACACACAACAGCAGTACATGATCGGAGCAAACCCTTTGAGTGTGTTATTTGTCATAAAAAATTTGGACTGTAAGGTAACCTTACTATGCACATTAAGAAAGTTCATGATCGTATCAAACCTTTCGAGTGTGAGATTTGTCACAAATCATTTGGATATAAGTGTGACCGTGATACACACATAAAAATAGTACATGATCGTAACAAACTCTTCGAATGTGAAATTGGCCACAAATCATTTAGATACCAGCATACATTAAAATGGCATGTAAACACAGTACATAATCGTATCGAACCCTTTAAATGTGTTTTTTGTCATAAAACATTTGAACTAAAAGGTAACCTTAATATCCATATAAGGAAAGTTCATGATCGTATCAAACCTTTCGAGTGTGAGACTTGTCACAAATCATTTGGATATAAGTGTGACCGTGATACACACATAAAAATAGTACATGATCGTAACAAACTCTTCGAATGTGAAATTGGCCACAAATCATTTAGATACCAGCATACATTAAAATGGCATGTAAACACAGTACATAATCGTATCGAACCCTTTAAATGTGTTATTTGTCATAAAAAATTTGGACTGAAAGGTAACCTTACTATGCACATTAAGAAAGTTCATGATCGTATCAAACCTTTCGAGTGTGAGACTTGTCACAAATCATTTGGATATAAGTGTGACCGTGATACACACATAAAAATAGTACATGATCGTATCAAACCCTTCAAATGTGACATTTGTTACAAATCATTTGGACAAAAAGGTAACCTCAAAAACCACATCAATGCAAAACATAATTGAAGCATACCTTAGGAGAGTGAGATTGATGAGGACATATTTAAACTCAATGAATATTTTTACACTCATATAAGTCCGTTATGTAATTTTGAAAAAAATTTTCACATGAATATTCGTCAATTTTGTAAAAAAAACAAATAAAATATTTCGAACTTATATTCATTTATTATTTACGTTTTACCATTCTAATAATCAGCCGAAATTTTCCTCAAAATACCTGCTTTTTATTGATATGCGGGTAAATAATCCTGGTAAAAAATGAGCTTAAAAAATGCTGAGAATAATGGACACAAAGAGTAATTTTATCGCTATAATTCAATCTATTTTCTGTATCCACACATACATTCTATACGAGTACCGTATAATTCGCGAGACTATTACTTCTTCTTAGCTTAGAAAATTATAAAAATTTAACTAATGATTGATTGATGCTATCGGTACCACACAAATTTCAACGACGAATCAATACTTTTATTGCGATGACACAATCAGGTTCATAATACAATATTTTTCGTTGCTTTGACATAATTAACTTTTTGTCACAACACATATTATTTTAGTTGGCACAATAAAATGGTTTCTGTAGCCTCGATAACAAGTTGTGTAGTGTACACTTTGATATCTTTTTCCGTACATGTAATTAAATTTAAGTTGTTTTAGTTAAATTTGTTGATTAGCTGTCATTAATTTTTTTGGTTAATTTGTCGATTTTATTCAATTTAATGGTATTTTGGTAAATTAAATTACATTCAAATGATTTTTCATTATCATTGATAACAAATTTTTTAGAAATAATTTAGGATCGTGAATAATGTAGAGGTCTCAAAAGCTCAAATGAAAATAACTCGATAATCGATTGCCTGCTTATACGCTTATTACCAACTCAACTCTGTTTGTCTCTCTCTCTCTCTTTCTCGCTTCCTTCCTTTTCAAAATCCGTCGCGTAAATTCATCGGAACTTGACTTGAAAATCGAGAAACGAAGCTCGCGAGTGCTCACAGCGTCGAGATGTATGTATGAAACTGCTCGGTTTTTCTCTCGCTGCACGCGCTCTCGCAATCCAATCGAGCGGTATTAATTAACGGGCCCTAGAATCGACGCGAATGATTTGATTATACGTACACATCGTTCGACACAAAGGACTCGCTGCTGCGAGCTCGCGCACGAGTGTTCTTGGAATTTCACGATTTTTTTTTCTCTCCATCGACCGGTTTTGCATTCGTTCCAAGATTTTGCACGTTGTCTGGAGCTTTTTTTTGCCTCTCCAATTTGTATCGGCTGCGTCGATGACGAGCGAATTACTCAATCTACGGGTAACGTTTCGAAAGGCGCTTTTGCATCGCCGCTAGGCCACAGCAGCAGCAGCAGCAGTGAAAGTGTTGCAAGCAAACTCCTCGCTTATGCATGTCTGTGTACGCGCGCGTTTGCAGCCAAGTCACTTTCGGGAATGATTCGACGCAAAGTTGCGAGCGCTTAGGCACACACACATATATACACAGGCAGAGGGTGGCGTGCAACGCGTTCAAACTTGCCAGAAAGTCCAGCTGGCTCTCTCTCTCTCTCTCTCTCGCTTTGGCAGGCCTTTAAGCGAGTCGAGTTTGTGGAAATTTACCCTCGCAGAGCAGCTAGCAGCAGAATTGCTAAGCTCACGCCGTGTTTATTTAACGGTGTCGAGGAAATGAAATATTTATACTTTATTTAAAACATTTATACGATTTAACTTTAAACGATGTGTACCCTTTATCCACCGCGATGCAACCCGCGATGCCTCTCGTCAATAATACTTTCGAAGCGCTTTTCCAGGGTCGGAACTCGTATTTAAGGCACCCACCGAAGGATTATACCAGAATATACATAATTTTCTCGAACTTGGTAACTGTCGGGCCGCAACCCTTACATTATCTCCTCGCTGCCTATGTACGAGTTGTTGAGAGCTGCTATTTAGTTTCGACTTTACGGGTGAGCTTGTGCTCCGAGAGATGCGGAGTAAAGTGTGCGGCGAGAGAGAGCGAGAGAGAGAAGTGAGAAAACGAGATGGATGAAATTAGCGCCGTCGATATTTGCCGAGCACGCCTCGCCTGTTTGTTTTAGCTTTTTGGCACCTGCCAGAGACGACGACGACGAGTTGGGGAAAGAACTCTCGAAGTCTTTAGGGATTGATCGTGGCGGTGGGCGCGCACTCGAGTCGAGGTGGTTTACCCGCTAATTCGAGCACGCGTTATACGTACGAGTGTATAAATTCGAATGAAAGAACTTGTTATATACGGGGATGATGACGTTTGTTTTGTCGCTCGCAGAAATTTCGGAGAAAGAGAGGGCCACAGTAGTTGTTAAATTTGTCGTTCGAATCTCCGCAAGCACAGTTTTTACGACTTAAACGAAGAAAATGCACTTCGATTTATTAAATTAATTAAGCCCCGTCCGCGGGAATACATATGCACGCAGCACAAGTAATATAGCCACTAAAAAGCTCTCATCAAGGCTAGGCGCGGCAACTATATTATTACGTTAATTCTCGACCGTTCACACTATATTCACACACACACACTCTCTCTATTACCAAGAGAAAAAGCCCCCGCGTAACATAGACTTTTATTATTATTCAGACGACTCGGCGGGGGGCAAAGTGCCTCTTTCCACGCGCGCTTAGAGGCATTAGAACGAGCGCCCGCGCAAGGGCTAAGTGTAACCTAAGATTTCATTAGTTAACACTCGAGTGCGCACCTGGGAATTTATGCGTGAGGTAAGAGCGAGCGAGCTCGCAGCTGAGTCGAGAGAGAGAGAGAGAGAGAGAGACACACAGAAACCGTAGCTACTTCGTCTGAGATGTGTTGGTTACGTGCGTGTATATATATACGTTCGAGAGCCTGTATATAGTGCGCGAATGTGGGCTACGCGCTGTTATGACGTAAGTAAGTAAGCGAGCAAGAGTAATGGAGATATGTAACGATAGGTTTTGTCGATTTCTTCGAGATTTTTTCGAGTCGTGAGACTTCTTAAAGCGATTTGGAAAAACTAATTGATACATTAAATTTAGATAAGATAAATTGGAATTAATTAAATGTAGCAAATCACTTATGGTGCTTTTTTATCCGCCGGTATCAAAAGTAGAAATTTAGCGTATTTTTCCTGCTGGGTTGAATTTTTTTTGTTTCATTTTGAAGCGTTTACGTTTATTTGCAGTGACTTGAATGTTTTTGTGGAATTTAGTTCAAGTTTCACTAATTACACAGCTGCTTATCGATTTTAAAAATTATACTTATATTTTTGTAGGAACACGTAACAAATGATACTTCGAAATTCGAAGATTTATCAATCAAAGGTGCAATATTTGATTACAAGCTTTATGATTCCACCAACAGAGGGAGCATTTTATACTCGCAAGTGAAAAAAAAATTCCGATTTATATAAATTTAAGTACATGCACATTTGATTAGAAAATTGAAGCATAAAATTATTAACTTGAAAATTTTGATTCAATACACAATTTTCTCAATGATTACATATTTAACTTTAAATACGTCCCAACACTTACGAGTTAAAAGTAAAAAGTGGTCGATCTCTTTTCTGAGGTCCGACGATTAAATTTTTTCTCGCTTACACTAAAATTTCAGTAATATCGCGAAAAAATCGCGAGACTCGCACGAACAAAGGGGATTATATCGATCATATAGCAGCAGCAGCCGCAATAGTACCAGTAGAGTAACAACAGAAATTGCAATGCCGAACACGGAAATCTTCAATCTTCTCGTACTCGAGCTTGGCTGCTGTGTTATGCTGCGCGCCATAGGAGCAGCATGTGCTCGCCTCAGAACCCAAAAGAAACGAAATGAAATATAAAACAACAAACATGGTTTTAATTCTTCGAGGGCCGCCGGGGGGTGGTGGTGGTCATTATGTGCGCGGTGGCTGCGGCGTAATTCGTATTTCTTGGGCTTTTAACTTATTTCTCTCGTAAACGCGCACGAGTTTTCCTGGGGATAATAAACAGAAATTACGAGGCGTGCAAATACATAAAAGTATAATATTACATAATATAAACGGTCTTATTTTACTTTTATTGCAATTAGCGATCCCCCGCGCAGCCACTGCCACAGCTGTAAAAACGTATATTTGCCATAGATTCACCGAAGGCCAATCATAAAGTCAGCCAGTGTATGTATACACGGCTGCGGAGCTATTAAAATATCAGGGAAGCGAGTAAACGCGCGTGTCGAAACGCGTCGGTCGTCGACGCAGCCGTAGCAAGCGCAAACTCGACGCGATCGTCGTCGTCGTCGTCGCCGTCGCCGCTGTGTCCTCTCAGGACCAAATTATAGAT